CATGCCAAAAAACACTGAAAAGCAGTAAGAGTGCTTCTGTTTCTTTTTGTTTGTTGTTTTTGTGTTGCAATCTATTGACAATATCTATTGAAAGATCCTGTGATGTCAGCCAAGCACTGAACAGAGGAATCTATTGGTTAACTGAAGTTGTTGAGATATTTTCTCAGAGAAAAGCTTGATGAATATTAGCCATTTTCCCTTAAATTTTCACACGTCTTTAAAATACAAAAATGAATAAATGTTAAAATACATGTGGTGTAAGTGCTTGACATTAAACTTTTGATTGCTGAGGTGTCCATTTCAAAGACATCCATCTCGAATAAACATACTGCCAGCTATACAACCTGATAAAAAGCCAGGTCACCCCACCCATGAAGATTCCCTTTTAGAAAGCCCTGGGTGACCTAGATAACTGACCACTTGAGTGACCCTACTTTTCTCCTCTGCACTTTAGTTCCCACTCTTATGTTTTAAATTCACCAATCAAGGGTAAACCTACAAAATCCTATGTATTTCTCCCATGACCCCAATAAAAGCAGAATCCCAGGTGTGTTCTCCCCCTGACCCCATCCCACCCCTGACTTTGCTGTGTGGCCCTGGAGTGCTGTGTACCCTGTACCCTCCAGGACCTGTGAGTGATAAATCTTGTTGTTTTTCAAAGTTTCCTCATGTTGTTACTGAGGTGCATCTTGCAATTATAATAAGAACCACAAGGGCTGGCCAAGTCACAACACTGGTTCACATGGGGGATCACCCCAGTAGCATGGGCCCAGGTGAATGCCCCCAGGTATTCCTAGATGACAGTATCACAATCAAAAGGCTGAGACCAGCACGAAACAATATAATAACATAATATACGCGTACTGTGGTTGTGTAGAAGAATGACCATATTTTTAGGTCATTCATACTAAGTAAGCATTTAGGGGTGATGTGTCATGATGTCTGCAACTTACACACAGAGCAAATAACACCGATCATTATACTATCCTTTAACTTTGATTTTGGAAAGTTTTCATAATAAAAAGTTGGGAAAATATGTGCGTTAAAAATAGAAATGGGAAGAGTTCAAAAGTGGAAAGTAGTCTAAGCATAAGATAAATAGCAGAGGCATTTTTTACAATTAAAAACAATAATTTACTGCAATACAACTTTCTAAGAATGAAGAAATTCAGGCTAACGTTTTCCATCTGGGCCTATGCTAAATGTTGCTCCCAGTATGGATCTGTGGCCAAGAGATTAAAAAATACCGGTGTTTTGAGGTAACAGTTTTTAGATGTCATAACTGCAAGCAATGATTCAGAGAGTGATGAAAGGCTCAATCAGACTGTCAAACTTTCTGCTGCCTTGCTCACTCCAATCCACGAGGGGTACTGAGCTTGCAACTCCTCTCGGAAGGCTTTCCTGAATGGAAACACACCATAACATGCATCTGACACACCTGATTCTGAAACTGCTAATGAAATTCGGCTAAATATTGCTGGGATTCTGTTTGGAAAGACACTAAGTCTTATTAAGCCCAGGCCTTATACAGTGTAGAGAATTTCCATAACCTTTCTTCAATCATGAAAGATGGTTTTTTGTTTGTTTGGNCTTGTTTTGCCTGAAAAAAATTCATACGCCAGTGCAGTACAACTGCTCAAGACTGTTTAAATATATAAACTCTTGTTGTGGCATTTGTATCGAGTATTATGGAGATTGTTATGGGGTTTGAGAGGCAGTACCTACAAACTGGTAATAGCTCTAATTAAAGATCACTCTTACTTGCTTCAGCTTTCACTTTGTCCATTTCAGCAAGCAATGCCACTTCTCGATCCATTAAACTAGGAAGGGATGACAAAGGAAAAAAGGTTTGATTAGAAACTTGAAACAGAGAAGTGGCACACTGTAATAGTGAAGAAAAACTTATGGAGTTTGTTCACTAAAAGCATATTACAAAGTAAACACTGTATGGACCACAAAAAAATTCTGTCTTACCCGCAGTAAAGCATATTTTAAGGATTCCAACACACCTAATTTCCTTTTATTTCGATATATTACAGTACACCAGTAGATGGCAGTAGCAAGCTACAAAACATTTCTTGGTGAATTGTGCTTAAAGTGAAAGTCCTTATGGAAATTACATATTTCCATACATTTTTTATATTTTGGTCTATAAAATTGGACAGCTTTGCTTCCGATGAATTTACCAGGCAATACTCCTTCCAGGGCATGGTAAGTTTATCCATGATTAGGATTTGTATACCTTTAACATTTTGCCACAGTTGCACCAAGTCTACTTGTAATTTAGTCTTTAGAATGCAGAGTAGTCAAAAGATACACACACACACACATACAAACACACAAAAGGCTTGTTTCGGGTAAACATTTACAAGTAATCCAGAAAATAGGGAATCAAAGTTTTCTAGTAGGGTTTTTACAGGAAAAGAACATTAAATAGACAATTAGCATTTTCTCCACGGCAAATGTAAATGGCATATAAAGCTTTTCCATGTCTTTATAAAAGAGCTCAGATAGTAAGTGGATTGTCCTAGTACTATTCAACCAGTGAAAGCAAATAATTTTCTTTACCACATCAGTTTTGCTTAGTGGTGGAAAAAAAAAATCTAAAATTTTAATACCTGCACAAACATTAAATGTTCCAACTTTCTCCAAATTTAGAATTCATTCCAATTTCTCCTCTTGAATGGGAATATAGCTACAGAGTTAATAAAAGTTCTATTCTTGTTTCTTACTGTATAACCAATCATACACACACATTTACCTATTCAATTTAGCTCAATATGTACTTACGTTGGCACAAAGTAGTTAATTAATACAGAGACTACAGTGTGAGCTACGTATACAAAAAAATGTAAGGCAGGGACATTTTCTCAAGCAGCAAAATCCTTCATAGGTAAGTGCCAGAGAACACAGGTTTGATCATCATTATGCATGATGTTAACAAACAGACTTGTTACTAAACAAATTTGGTTGGCATATTAATCCAAAAGCATCAGACTGGAGAGACTATACAACCATTGTAGAAATACTTTGTTAGGAAAGCATTTCCCAAATCTTGGCAGCATTTTGCTCCAAGAGCTCTGGCAGCATTTGGAATACCTCAAAGGCAAAACAAAAGCACAACAGAGACAGGAGCTGTTAGGCCTTGAGTTTGACATTGACCTCTTATGTTGTGTTGCTGAATCACCTTAAGATGCAGATATTGTGTACACCATATGTCAAATTTATCTGACAAAGCTTGTAAACTATTTATTAAAAGACTTCAGTGAACAGGTAATAAGCTTTCTGTAGCTTACAATCTTTATTATACAAAGTAGAATGTCATATGACCTTGCTTTTGGCAAAGAAAAAAGTTCTGCACCACCACAATCACTTTTTTGTGGCAGTATCCGGTACTTTCTTTCCTGTGAGAATGACTAGCACCCATTTAAATAAATTTTGCTGCTTGACTGGCTCATTGGTGATCATAGGAAATTCATAGGGAAGGGGATGGACAACCATACAACCACTCCATTAAAAATCAGTTTACAGGGCCGGCCGAGTGG